GTTGAAAATCCTTCTGGTTGTTCCATGTAGATTTCTTCATTCAATTCTCCATTGAGAAACGCAGTTTTGACGTCCAAATGTTCAATGTGCATGCCCCTTGAGGCTGCTATGCTCAAAAGTGTTCTGAAGGTTGTGTAGCTTACAACAGGTGCAAAAGTTTCCGAGAAATCGATTCCATATTTTTGAGAAAATCCTTTTGCGACAAGACGAGCTTTGTACTTGTCCACTTCGCCGTCAGGGTTATACTTCACTTTGTACACCCACTTACAGCCGATGGCTTTTCTTTCTGAAGGTAACTCAGTAAGAGTCCAAACTTGTTTGTCTTGCAAAGATGCAAATTCTTCTTCCATGGCATTAATCCACTTGCTTCTTTCAGATGCAGGTAGTTGATTAACTTCCTTCCAGTTAGTAGGTTCCTTTATTTGTTGCACACTTGCACAAATTCCGTACATTGGTGGTGGAACACCTTTGGTACTCCTTGCTGATTGTCTCACAGCAGTTGTCTCTCTTACCCTTGGCGTTGCCTCTCCTGGTTCCCCTTCTGAGGTGGAATTCCCTTGTTCCCCTTCTGAGGTGGAATCCTCTTGTGGAGATGGACCTGCCTGGTCACAGGTGGTCTCTGCAGATTGCCAAGTGATCACATCAAAGAAAGAGACATCTGTAGATTCCTGATTGACAGGTTGTGCTGTGGACTCAGCTGGCTTAGGAGTTTGCAGGATGTTACTCTCATCAACATGTACCACATTGCATTCTCTAATTACACAGTTTGTAGAATCAAAAATTCGGTAGCCTTTTCCTCCTTGAGCGTACCCCACTAGGATACCAATTTCTGCTCTTGGCTCTAATTTGCCCCTTTTCTCTTTTGGAATGTGGGCATAGGCTTTAGATCCAAATGCTTTAATGTGTTTAAGTCCAGGCATCCTGTTATGCCATAATTGAAAAGGAATTTTATTTGTAGTTTTAGATGGAACTCTATTGTGCAGGTAAGTAGCTGTATTGACTGCTTCACCCCACATATCTTCTGAAATTCCAGATTGTATTAGCATAGAACGCGCCATTTCTAGTATGGTTCTGTTTAAGCGTTCCGCTGTTCCATTTTGTTCTGGAGAATAAACAATAGTTGTTTGATGTTCAATTCCTTCTTGTTCCATGAACCTTTGGAACTCACTGCTGCAATACTCTGTGCCATTGTCAGTGAATAACACTTCAGGCGCTTTGCCAAATTTATTTTTAACAGCAGCAACATAGCACTTAAATTTGTCAAGTACTTGGTCTTTACTTTTAAGTAGGTAGGTATAGACATATCTGGATTTTGCTTCCATAAAAGTCACAAAGTATTTACTACCACCAGTAGATTGTTTGATAGGGCCAACAAGATCTGAGTACACAGTCTCTAGAAAACCTTTATCTTGTTCTGGATTTTTGCCTCTGTAACAAGGCGCTTTGCCTTTTGCCTTAAAACAGGTATCACAACCATTACTAATAGTATTGCATTCAACAGCATCAATATTACAGCCCTTCAGAAGCTTTCTCACACTTTGTAAATTTCTGTGAGCAAACATCACATGCCATTTAAATAAACAGTCTTTGTGCTCACATTCAGATGATTTTGTGTGAAACACAGGTCCACTTGTGTCCAGTTCATCATTTTCAGTTATGCCAAGATTTCTTACATAATGGTAACTGTCGTGCTCTTCCATAATGAGCTCGACTCCATCTTTGTGCCAAATTTTTCCTTGTCCCTTTTTAAGATTAATGTTAAAACCAGCAGCAATAATTCTCCTTGAGGAGATCAGACAAGTACTAGCTTCAGGCACAAATACACAATCATTTAAAGTCATTTGCTGAATTTGGCCAGCAGAATTTAACACATTAAGAAAAATCTTTCCTGTTCCAGCAACTCTCAATGGTTCATTATCAACTTTGATCAGTTTGGGCATCTCATCTTTATTCAGATCAACAAAATATTCAGCACTGTTGCAAATGTGGACGGCACTCCCTGTGTCCAGTAGCCACAGTGATTCATCACTGTATTCTCTGCTATGATTAATGTTTACAGCAAGCACATTCGCACATTCGGCTCGCTTTCCTGCAGTTTCTGGCACAGCCTCTCTCAGGAGAAACACAGGCTTGGATTTTTCCTGCCCCTGATGACCGTTTGGCTTCCCATTGCCACGCCCTCTGGCGTTTCTAGGTTTTGGAGTAGAGGGAGAGCGCATGTCTGTATCCTTTTGATCTTTAAAGTCGTTTCTGTACCAGCAATCCCGCGACAAATGGCCGGCTCGGGAACATACAAAACATTTAACGGCTTTCTTTGCATTCCCTTTGTAGCGAGAGTCACTGATCTTAAGTACAGACACACTTTCATTAACATTCATTTGTTCCCTTCTGAAAGCCTCAGATTCCAGGTAACAAATTGTTTGATCCACGCTCAGATCCTCTTTATCACGTAAATGGGCAATCTGAACTTCATAATTCTCAGGCAATGAATTTAAAATAACGGCAACCATTGAACTCTCGGAGGGAGGGTCATTAATCATTTTAAGGTCATCATAGATATTAATTATCTTACTTAAATGTACACTCATTGTGTCTCCCTTTTGCATTTTGCTATTAAACAGCTTTTGTTTAAGAAAGATACTATTTGCTTTCGACTTCGCAGCATACTTGCGATCTAAATGCAAAATCATTTCCTTTGCTGTTTGATATGTTAATAGCCTTTGATTGTCACTAATCACAACATTCCCAAGGATTAAAGCACGGGCATGTCCATCCTTCTCTTTAAACTTTTTAAGTTGATCCGCATTGCCCGTTGGAGCATCCTGGGTTAACACATAACTCGCAGATGTGGCCTCTAAAATGCATTTTAAGCACTCCTTCCAAAACCGATAATTACTGGCTGATAATTTCGGTAGGTTATAACCGTGTGCAGACGCCATATCTTTTTTTTAATTATTTACTTTACCAACTTCCCTTTGTAGAGGTGAAGACGTCGGTCGTCTGGGATCGATCGGGGGTTGCTTGTGATCTCCTTCGTTCCCTCAGGCGCTGTCGTTCAGCTCTCTGGGAAAATCCTTTGTTTTGCGGAGATAGTTTCACAGCAGGGGCTGAAGTTCCTCTTGCTTCTCTGTTCTGCAAGCACAAGGCTTTGCAGACTCGAGAAAAAAAAAACAAAGAAGACTCTCTCTTGTCCCAGAAAAAGTTTCAAAAAATTCTTTTCTGTTTTTTTCTTAAGTTCTAATACACATGGCTCAAAACAACTCTGCTAGTGGGAAAACATCTGGGCTTCCCATAACCTGTTAGATGCCTGTTAGATGGTTTAGTATTTAATTTCTTAATTTCTTAATTCAGCAGAGTTTAGCAGAGTAAAAATGAGTCTGAGTCCATGGTAGTTTCAAAATATAAAAGTTTACTAACAACCTATCAAGGGTAGGGTAAACAGGAGGTAAAATAACAAAGAGCTTTATTTCTACATCCTCATGTCTAGATAGACTTCCTTACATGGCTAAGGTCTAATGGAGAGTGATGGAGACTGGAGCTTCTTCTTGCTCAGGGACAAAGAGCCATAAAATGCTAAATAGTAACACTCCATTCCCCAATCAGAACAACAAACTAGATCTGTATCTGGCGGGCTTTCTAACTCTCTAAGCAGATAGGATACAAACAAACATGTGATTCAGAACACAATATTAACTCAGTAAATACTGAATAGAAGTGTTCTAACTTGTAACTTCCAACAAAAACACTCAGTATATCTGGGGTTAAATATTTATTTATGTTACTCACAGGAAGTCACGTGTTTCTCATGTAACCAATGTTCTTTAGATGTAGGCAGCCCGGGAATTTTCTCCCTGATCTAGGGATTTGATTGGGACTAAAGTGTCAAGGTGTATTAGCATTTTATGGCTTCTTTCCCGTCTTTGTTTGGTGTTCTGAAGAAACAAGAAGAGTAGTCATAATTCTCTCTTCTAGTTTTGTCTTTGTAGAGTAAGGATGTAGCCGATTTTGCTCTGTTGTTATTTTCATCCCAGTTACCCTTCCCCATGCTAGAATTTAGTAAAAACTTTATATTTTAATCACACATGGACTCTGAGTGAATTATTTTACTCTGGCTCTGCTGGAATATCTTATCTCTGCTAAATACCATTTTTTCCAATATCTCACTATCACCCAACACTACTGCAGCCTCACCTTCTTGAGCAGAGTTATCTGGCGAATCGCTGGAGGTTTCTCCCTCGATCAGGGTCCTCTCAGGATCAGTTGCTTCAGGGAGAACCACCGGGGACCCTGCAGAGCGCACGACACAGGTGCCCTTCACAAGTCTATCTGTCCTTATTTTGCTTGGTTTGTGTTGGAACATGACCTCCAAGTAACTTGACAACACTTTCAGTCACGAAGGAGTTAAATTGATGTGGCATGCGAACAGGATGTTACCTAGCTTTTAGCTCTAACCAATTAGAAGTTGAGATAAGTTTGCCCGGGGAAGAATGTGGGTGGTGATGATTAGTGTAACGAAGCGATCTATAGTCTTGTCATTAGCTAACTGATATATTGGTTTGAAGATGTGCTTTGATCATGTATGCATCTGTTTGCATGTTTTATTATCAGTTTCCTGCCTTTGTTCTGAGGAAGAAGAAGAGGCCGCTAAGCCTTTTTCCTTTTAGATGTTAAGATGTTAGGTGAGAGAGCATCCCCCCCCCCTATTTCTGTCCAGCGTTCCCTCTAAGCTGAGTTAGCGTGAGCTAGCTCACAGTTTTTTAGCTTCTGGCTCACACATTTTTGCCTTAGCTCAGGAAGGAGGGCTCCAGAGCAAACTAATCTATGCAGCAGCCCAATCCCTCGCTCAGCACTTCAATGTCAGGGGCTCACAAAGTAGAATTTTTGCTCACAGGACTCCACAGCTCAGAGGGGGCATGGGTTGTCTCCCAATGTAACTCCCGCCCTTGTTTCTGGTAAAGACAGATTTTCTCTTTATTATTTATTTATTTATTTATTCTGGGATTTATATCCCGCCCTACCCGTACGGCTCAGGGCGGCAAACAAGCGGCAAGCGCCGAGAATAAAACACATGTTACATTAAAACTTCAAATACATCTTGATTTGATTTAACTAAAATGGTGCTCTACAGTTCAATCTTAAGAAAGTTCAAGATGGTCGATCCTCACTGGCGGCCGACGATGTAAAAGTCTTTAAGCTCAAAGGACACACTGGTGTTGGCTCTTGTTTATTGACTCGGCACTTTACACAAGCAGCCCACAGTTTGGCCCTGGCGCAGGGAGAGGCCGGCCGGGACAGGCCCTGGCGCGGGGGTGGGTGGGCTTCGCGCCCCCCTCCTAGCAGCTCTGGACCTCGTCCATGTGGCCGATGAGGAAGCGCAGGAGGCCCCGGAGCCGGTTGAAGGTGGCTGTGACGACGCTGAAGGCGGAGTCGGCCAGGAGGGCCTGGAGCTGGCCCTGGTCGACCTGCGAGGAAGGGGTGTCGAGGGCGCAGCCCAGGGCGCTGGCCCTGCGCTGCAGGAGGCTCCGCAGGTTCTCCACGTCGTTGAGCACTTGCCCGGCCGGCTCGTGGGCGAGCATCTGGCCCAGGACCTCCTGGAAGACGCCGAGGGCCTGGTCGATGGGCCCCAGCTGGGGGGCCGGGGACGCCTCCGGGATGAACTCCAAGCCGCTGATACTCATGGTCACCTCGGGGAACTGCGGAGGGGGGGGGGAAGGAGGAGAGGAC